AAGTAAATAATAAAAAAAATTAAAACCAACCCTGTGCCCCGCCATCTGACTTGAATTAAATAGGTAAAAACCAGCATACGTAAGGAGATCCGTCCATCCAATACTTTATTTGCAAAAAGGCATAAAAGCAGCAAACAAGCAAATGCTTTCATGTTTCAGCCCCCAACTGGGCCTAAGACGTAGTTAGTTGGCTATGACTAGTCTAAGACCCATCTTGGGGGGGTGAAAAATGTAAGCATTTGCTTGTTTGCTGCTTTTATGCCCTTTTGCAAATAAAGTACTGGATGGACGGATTCCCTTACAAGTGCCGGTTGTTACCTATAGCTTAGTGAAGGCTCTGGAGGAAGCTTTACCAGGCACTGAGGTTCCAGCAGCAGGATTGGAGACAAGAGGGTAGAGCTGCTCCATGTTTCTTAATTGCTACTGATTTGAATGAACATGTGCACGTAGGGCAAGCACATGTATGTAATAAGGGAGCGGGGCCCCATGATTCCTAATGGCGGCCCTGCTCCTGTGACCCAAAAGAGAAGGGGGGGGGTAAGAGTGTTTCAGCACATGCTCCCAGACAATAGGTATCACAGTATTGTGACTTTTAGTTCCACAGCAGCTGGAGGGCCACAGGCTGCAAATAAATCAAGTGAATAATTTGACATGAATGTGTGTATAGAGCACATGTGATTCCGGCCAAACAGGGAAACCATTTTTATAGATGAAAATCTCTCTCTTTTACGGATAGTTGTGCTCATTCATGATACTGAGGTTCACAATAGTGTCTAGCAACAGCGACAGAAAATCAATGTACAATGGAAACAAATGACCTGCTACCATTTTTCCGTACTAGAGGTATTAGTGACACACAGGAGGAAGTGTCAGCAATGTTAGATGTTAAAATATCTTATATTCGGGACGGCTTATACTCGAGTATATACGGTATACTGCCATCACTGTGTAAACAAGCAATACAAACTTTCCTATAACAAAGAAGATGTAAACCCTAAGTGGGGGACATTAAAGCTGGCCATACACGAGTAGAATTTTCATTTGTTTTCAGAACGTTTATTTCATATTCTAATAGGTAATGGGGTCAAAGCAATGATCGATTTTTGACCAGAGAGAAATAAAATTAAAAGGGGCAGGAAAACTTTTCTCAAACAAATTGCTAACCGTGATTTTAATGTACAAAATCAAACGATAAAACCAAATGAAACTTCTAACATTCTACAAGTCTTTCGGATGTTCTGACGAGATTTCTCATATGAACGTCTGTACGAAAATCTACCAGTATATGCCTAGATTATAGCTGGCCATACACCTATAGATTTTCTGCAGGCTTTCTATGGTGAGATGGAAAAAGTGTCACAGATTCCTCCATCTACGCTACACTGTGTGGATGGAGGAATCTCCCACTGGGCCAAGCTTCAGTATCTCGCTAGTCGGCCCCGCTGGCTCTCAAAATAGCTGAACAATCTGATTGGATGCAGGCATTGTTCAGGTATTTCAAGAGCCAGCGGGGGCCGACTAGCAAGATAGTGAACCTTGGCCCAGTGAGAGATTCCTCCATCCACACAGCTTAGCATAGATGGAGGAATCTGTTGTACTTTTTCCATCTGACCATAGAAAATCTGCAGATAATCTATAGGTGTATGGCCAGCTTTAGCTTGCAGTGTTTATTAAATTCCTTTTTTCTAGAGAACACAGTTTTCATCAATTTTTCGCCTCTCAGTATTGCCGATCTCCTTCAGCCTCTACTAGCCGCTTCTTGTCTTCATACACTCACTTCAGTGGGGGGCTGCAAGTCACAACCTGGCATTCTGATGGTGATAATGGTGAACCATGCCTGCACAATGTGTGTGGACATGGCCGTTACCACTTACAGCTTCCATCTGAAGTACGTGTGGCATATTGATAACACAAGAGAAATATCTGGGAGCATTCGGTCACCCTATTAAAAGAAGAGGCTGAATTAGGACTTTCATTGCAGAACTAGAAGCTATTCATAAGAGTCCTGCATATTTACAAAGGCTAAAAGCAACCTTTGAGATGACATTAACATGTTAAAGCTTATACGAGATTGTATTTATTGGGTTTACATCTACTTTAAATGGCACATTCTAGTCCTCTAGCCTCTACTTCGGCAGACGGGAGGTGCCCACGTTTGCACAGCAAAAGGTGTGGCCGCAATTTGCATATAAATTAAAGGACAATGGGAACTAATTTCCAGTCCGAAAACACAATCTAAGCTACATGCATTATGTATTCAACAACACAAAGCCAAGTGACACATTTTACTCCCATCCTCCCCCCCCCCAATCTGATTAAAGGTACTCCATAAAGCTATAACCAGTTGTGCAACTTTGTTCTCAATAGAAATACATATTTTATTAAAAGGTAAAAATATGTCATCAAATGTAATAAAACTATGCAAACACAAATCACACTGCATCTGAAAAATGTACTGTGAGAAAAAGATCTGCAGTCAAAGTATGCTTTCAAATCTCATGTTAATAAAAACAGAGGGAATACATTATTAATTTCGCTAATACACTGAAAAAATGATGTGTTTGAATGTGTAAATGTTTTCTAAAACCCATCAGCAGGAACACACTCAAACTGGCCATACCCCTATAGATTATCTGCAGATTTTCTATGGTCAGATGGAAAAAGTGTAACAGATTCCTCCATCTACGCTACACTGTGTGGATGGAGGAATCCCCCTCTGGGCCAAGCTTCAGTATATTGCTAGTCGGCCCCGCTGGCTCTTAAAATACCTGAACAATCTGATTGGACGCAGGCATTGTTCAGGTATTCTGAGAGCCAGCGTGGCCGACTAGCAAGGAACTGAATACTTATTATCCCTTAAGCATCGATCGTGCATCCAGGGAGAATGATTCCTAACTGCATGTAATTAAAGCACACACTATTACATGCGGTGTGCAGATGTTTACATGCAGCGTTGGTCATTTGATCATTAACTTGGATGGGTGACAGCTGCTGCTTGTAAACACCAGATTAGGGATTCCTGCTGCAGTAAACGCAATTGCACCTAAACTTACAGGTGTGAATATGCCCCCCCTTGCGCGCCCACACAAAAAATGATGCCCCCCCTGCCCCCCCACTCATACAACAATATACTCCCCCCATGTTCTCTGCCCCCCCACACACAAACATAAAACAACATACTCCCCTCACACATAAAACAACATACTTCCCCATGTCTGTGACCGTGTACCTGACTTGTCAGCTGGCTGCGGGCCACATAGTACCGGTTCGCAGGCTGCAATTGGCCCACGGGCCGGTACTTTGAGACCTCTGCTCTAGCAGATTTAAATGGACTTTACTAACAAATTAAAGCTGAATTCCAGCTAACACTTTTTAAACAGTAACAAAAAACAGATTTTTTCTTCCTTTTGGGATAAAGTTTTGATATAAATATATAAATAAAACCGAACCTTTGTTAGCACCCTTGTCAGTGTTCAACGGTTTGTTTAAACCCTCTAACTGGCACTTCTGAAGGACAGCTTGGCCTATTAAAGGAGGTTGGAAAAAAAAAAACAGACTTACTGATTGATCACCAGGTGAGCATAAAAGGGAAAAAAATAATTATTGGAGCCAATACATTTAAGAATTAGTAAGTTGCAATTTATAATCATTTCCATTTGGGTTTAGATACACTTTAAAGTGAACAACAGTCTGTTGACACATACCCTTAGGGCTCCCAAACACATATCACTTGTGACAGGTCTGCTGCAGTGTGAAATGTTAGCAAACAGACGGGTATGTACAAAGTGGTTTTCCTTCAAAAATGTAGTGTCCATATTACATGCACTAAAACAAGCAAAAAAGGTGATTTCTTTAGAAAACTACTATTCTCCACACCCCCATGTAAAAGAGATGAACAAAGGCAGACATGTTTTACGTCCAGCCTGAGTAGCAACCATGGCTCCTTTCACATATACAGTGGATGAGTGAATGTAGACACCCAAAGACAGGAAGTGTACTATTGGCAGGATCACCAGGTGAAAAGAAAGAAAACGAATGCAAGCACCACTGGTAAGCTACAATATGTTACATATCTACTTTTGGGTTTAGTCCTGGGGCGTAACTAAAAGTCACAGGGCCCCATAGCAAAATTTTGTATGGGGCCCTGTAATTTCTAGTTAGGCCCCACACAGCCCACCTGACAGTGACCATGCAGAGCCCACCAGACTTCCTATGGTGGGCTCTGCAGGGTCTCAGGTAGGCTGGTCCCACCCCTGTCCACCTCTTACCTGTCAGCCTTCTCCACCGCTGGGCCCCGCTTCCTCCTTAGTCGCGGGTGGGCCCCACCTCCACCAGTGCCGCCGGGCCTGGCCTCTTCCTCCTCCGCCAGGCCCCACCTCCTCCACCGCAGCTGCTGGCTATCACTGACTCAGCAGCGGCTGTGAGGAGGAATGCGACGCTGCACAGATCACTGACAGGTTGTCAGTGATCTGGACAGCAACACGTTCCTCCTGACGGCCGCCAGTGAGAGCCAGCAGCCTGCGATGCCATAGCGACCCAGGCGGCACGCACGGCATCAGGGGGACCCCTTTGTTCCTCGTCCTGGCCGAGCCCCCCTATGCCCCATAGCAGCCGCCTGGTTCGCTATGGCGATAGTTCCACCACTGGTTTAGACCCACCTTCATGAATTTGCCCACCCCTGAGGTACACTGTTCAAACTGATGCATGCTAGTAACGTTTACTGATTTTAGTGTTGCCCGCAAAAGGTATCCAGGGAATAAAGTCTTCCACAGTGATAGGAGGAGCTGTAAACCAAGGATGCTTTCTGACTAGCAGTTTGAAGCACGCATGTATTACTACAGCCTAAAACGCTATTCCCTTTGCCAAATCCAGAATTTCTGCATACTTTTTTCTACCACCCCATTTTGTTAATAGTTTCAGGACGGTTTTGGAAAGGAACTGGCAACAATGGTGCAGAGAATTTAAAAGAACAATCGCATTGTGCAGACAGTTTCATGTACCTGTGGGTGCCTCTGTGATGTCCATGATCTACTTCTGAATCAGGTGGGGCCAGAAAACGTTTTGGAAGAAAAAAAAGAGAGAGTTCTTACTGATACACATGTCGCTTAAAACAGAACAATAATGTCATAGAATAGATAATAGGTATATCAAAACATGTCTGCCATTAACATAACTTACAACAAACTGCAGGATATTTAGTTCTACAGCAGAAAACAACTTGGAGCATTCATGCTATTTATATGCAATTCACAAATAGAGCATTCATAGGGGACAGTTCACCGACATGTTACTGAACACCACCAGTCACAATTCCCACAATGCCGTAGACCGAATAAAAGTAAAATTTAGTATGTACAGTGAGACCAGAATCTAAGGCTTCATTCATTCAGACAACCTGGGGCGGATAGTTTGTCGCATCCAGAGGAGGCTAAACGCAGCTACGTCCTGAGCTATGGCTGCATACATACTGGCTGATTAGCTGAGGCCAGAAACTCTGCAAAAGCACCATGCCCAGACCCAAAATGCCTACGTCTAGTGTTGGTCACAGATTTATTTGCATGTAACCGCTCGCATGAATGGTTACACGTGAAGAGTGGCAGTACCAGCCATTGATCTGTGTGGTTGTTCATAAACACTGAGTGCATGTATTGTTTACTAGATTCTCGTTGTCGTCACCTCCGGCCTAAATCTTGCCCAGTGCTTCTCAAAACACTGGCATCAGAAGTGTTTGATTGGCAAGCATTTATAACGCGTTCATGTAGCATTAGAAAAACTTTCTCCAAAGCTTTGTAAACTCTACTCAGCAGCCTGGAAGGAACAGATCCACTCCTGAACAGGAAATAGTGTTGGGGAACAATGACAACAATCTTTACATTTCTTTCACTACAGTTAAAAAAGATAAAAACTAGGGATGCAACGATACCGGTATTTCGGTACCGATATATTTTTTTTTCAGTACTCGCCGATACCGAATACCGAGAATACTATGTGACGAGAAAGCATGGGGCAAGCTTACTGGCCAATCATGGAGGCCGGGTGCCGTGTAATGACGCGGCGCCCAGCTTCCTGATTGGCCGGGAAGCCGGCTCCATGCTCCCTCGTCATGAGGTGACGAGGGAGCATGAAGTCTACAGGTGAAACTCGAATAATTAGAATATCGTGCAAAGTTCATTTATTTCACTAATGCAACTTAAAAGGTGAAACTAATATATGAGATAGACTCATTACATGCAAAGCAAGATAATTCAAGCCGTGATTTGTCATAATTGTGATGATTATGGCTTACAGCTCATGAAAACCCCAAGAACCCCAAATCCACAACCTCAAAAAAGTAGATTATTACATGCAATCAATAAAACAAGGATTGTACATAGAACAATATCGGACCTCTGAAAAGTATAAGCATGCATATGTACTCAGTACTTGGTTTGGGCCCCTTTTGCAGCACTTACTGCAATTACTTTTGCACGATATTCTAATTATTCGAGTTTCACCTGTACTTCCCGGCCAATTAGGAAGCCGGGCAGCGCGTCATTACACGCTGCCCGGCTTCCTGATTGCCCGGGAAGCCGGCTCCAGGATCTCTCCTCACATCGGAGCATTTGGGCGAGTACGAGTACTCGCCCAAATACTCGGTATCGGCACCGATACCAATACTAGTATCGGTGCATCTCTAATAAAAACCTAAAAACTGACCAAAAAAACCTCTCTAAAAAAAGGTTAGGATCTCATTAGATATGATGTGCTCAATTAGCAAACATGCATAAATACCAGATCAGCAGACACTCCACTGACACCCCAATGCATAGTATACTTCACTGAAACTCACAGGTCTAATATGCTGAACATTCAGAATGAACTCAAAGCATACATGTATACTGTTTGTTGTATGTGTGAAAGCAGTTACATAAATCCCCCATATAACACCCATATTCAAGAACTGAACATTGAACAGAAAAATGGTAATAACTGAAGTTGACCACAAACCATTATGGATCCCTTTTAAAGATCCACTTTATTATGAGCACATTGGCTAACAATAGCTAAGTGACTGGCCTTCGTTTTGTTATCGGGAGAAGAACGGGCACCAATTCAGTCCCCCCTTCCACCACAAAACGTGTTACCATATTTCGTTTTGAATACATTTTACATATAAATGACGAATACCACCCTTCCCCTATCTCAGCGGGACAATTGTCATACAAAAACAAAAAACGATTAACACTTTTTAAGCAGTTACAGAAACAGTTGTTTTTTTCCCCTTTTAGGATAAAGGTTTTACATACATGAATACAAGCTGACCATTTGTAAGCCCCCCTTGTCAGTGTTCAATGGTTGGTCACAACCCTATATCTGCCACTTTGGCTGGACATCTTGGTCTGTTACGGAAGCTGAAAAGTGAACTGGCAGGAGCAACAAATACAAAACAAAGAAAGAAATCATATATACATAGTCAGTCCCTGGTCACACCTGGGCGTTCTCATGCTCAAAGCTAAGTGCGACAAAACTCTCAACACAAGAAACCCCATTCATTCCTATGGCCCCGGTTTACACCCAAGAGCTTGTTCACACCAGACACAATGCATTCCGGCCCAATTCTGTCCGGAACGCACTGGATAGAATTGCGGCCGGCTCACTTTGTTGTGGGCGGGAGGGGGCATGGCGGTCCATTGAAGTGAATGGCACCGTTGCCACGTCCTCCGGCCTCAAGGAAACGTGTGGCACATCAATGCCTTCGTTCCGGTCAGAGAAAAAAATAGTGCTTGCAGCATTTTTTTTTACTTACCGCAGTCATTGATGTGCATTGCATTCCCGTGCGGCTTATCGCATTGTGGTCGGAGGGTGTGGCTACGGGGCCATTCACTTCGATGGACCACCATACCCCTTCCCGCCCCACAACAAAGTGAGCCGGCCACAATGCGATCCAGCCAGAATCGGGCCGGAACGCACTGTTTGGTGAGAACGGGCCGAGAGTTTTGTCACAAGCTGTAAAATGCTGAACGCTGGAAAAAGGTACACGAGCTTCTTTCGGGCAGATTACAGCAGGTTTGGCTTCAATGGAAGCGCATAAAAATGTGCGACAAGCGTTTTGCACATTTTTGTGCGCATTTGCTCATTCACAGCAATGCATTTCAATCTGCTCAATAAAACGCATGTCTTTGTATATGAAGCTCTAATGCGCGTAAAAATGTACAAAATGCGTATAAAACACAAGTTTTTCCAAAGATGTGCATTAAAATGCGCATAAAACCTACGAAAACGCTGACGCCTAGGTGTGAATGGAGACTAAATCTTAAAAATGCATCCAAGTACCCTATTAACAAAAATGTCTCTTATTTGTGTATCACTCGGCTGTAGCTACTCAAATCATCTCCGAATTGGTGCTGACACTGTCCTTCCTTCTGGAGGGTGGCTACTTTTGTTCCCCATGGTCCCTGTGTGTGTTGTAAAGTAGCCACCACTCCAAGCTCACTCCTGTGATGGACTACAATCTCATTACAAATATGCGTAGGGATGCACCGATACTGATACTAGTATCGATAGCGGTGCTGATACCGAGTATTTGCTCGAGTACTGGTACTCGCCCAAATGCTTCGATGCCTAGCCCGATACTTCCTGTATCAGGAAGCCGGCTCCTTGCTCCCTTGTCACTTGCCGTGTAATGACGCAGTGCCCGGCTTTCCGATTGGCCAGGAAGCCGGCTTCAAGCTCGCTCGTTAATCGGGAAGCCGGGTGGTGAGTCTTTACACGCTGCCCAGCTAATCAGGAAGCCAGGTGGCGAGTCATTATACACCGCCTGGCTTCCTGAATGGGACTTCCGGTACTCGGTATTGGCGAGTACCGGGGGGGAAAAAAAACGGTACTCGGTACCAAAATATTGTTATCGGTGCATCCCTACCAATTAGTAAACTAAACGTGAGATTGTAGTCCATCACAGGAGTAAGCTTGGAGCGGTGGCTACTTTACATCACCCACGGGGACAAAAGTAGCCACCCTCCAGAAGGAAGGGCAGTGTCAGCAGCAATTCAGAGGTGAATACACAAATAAGTTACATTTTGTATAATCGCTAACATACTTGAATGCATTCTAAAGTTTGAACTCCTGATTTTCATGCCACGTTAATGCCCTCTTACACAAGACCTTGCCATGCAAGACTTTATGGCCCAAATCACTGTTATTTGCTGACTGACTGCATAGACCACCTGCACACTTCTGAGCCTTCTCATGTAGATTCTTCATCTGATCTACCCATGGCCTCAAAGCCATTGGCCCATTACCCAGTAAGGCTGGGTTCACACTTGGGCGGTCGTAATATGCGCGTTTTTACAGCGTTTTGTGGTCAACGAAACGCTCGACAAACGCGCGTTTTTGAAATCTATCAGACTGTATCCTAATGGATACGCGTAGAAAAACGCCCCAAAAGAAGCTCCTGTACTTCATTGGGCGCAGGGCGTTTTTCAGCGCGCTCCGACGGATTTCACTTGCTGGGCATTTTACAGCACGTCAATCAGCGCTGTAAAATGCCCAGGTGTGAACCCGGCCTAAATCAAAACCAACAAGCTATGCAGCAAGTTGTCTTTCTGTGGGCTGTAGAACTATTGTAGGCTTGGGGAGAACAGTGGCTTTGTGCTTCGCACTTCTGCACTGTGGCATTGGGACCCTTGGCTTAAATCCCGGTCAGGTCACTATCTGCATGGGGTTTGTATGTTCTCCCTGTGCTTATGTGGGCTTCCTCCAGGCACTTCAGTTTCACTCCGCACGCCAAAGACATGCAGGTAGGTTAATTGGCCCTGTATGTATACATGTGACATAGGGACCTTAGAATGTAAGCAGGGACTGATGTGAATGTGCAGTATGTAAAGGGCTGTGTAAATTGTCAGCAATATAAAAATGCCTGTAATCAATAGAAAATAATGGACAGGGAGGCATCTGTCCCATCATTGTAGAGTCCGGCCCCTTCATTATTTCTTGTTCTATTTACCCACTGGACTAAAAAGGTAGATCATGCGCAGGGAACGTATTCCTCCCGCCCTTCCTTCTGAGAATAGGGAAAGTTCAACCCATTCACATACATTTCCACCGAGCTATCTTAGTGATAACTGCTTACATTTCAAAGACTTATGGCTTCCTAATGTATCCTTACCCACACCCTTATGTACTAATAAACATAGAGGGAAAGTTTTCAGCTTCTATCTTTCATTTTCAAAGCTTAAAGTAGTCTTAAACTGTGGAGGGCAATGTATAATTGTTTGATCTGGATTCATTATTAAAACAAATTATTTCTTTAAAATGTTTGTCCAAGTACTTACAGTCATCATGTTTCCAAACAGCATCAACTCTCTCAGCTCAGCATCCCTGAACTTCCTATCCAGTCCAAGATTACAAGGAACTGTGTGGATGGAGGAATCTCCCACTGGGCCAAGCTTCAGTATCTTGCTAGTCGGCCCAGCTGGCTCTCAAAATAGCTGAATAATCTAATTGGATGCAGGCATTGTTCAGGTGTTTTAATAGCCAGCGGGGCTGACTAGCTGACAGAAAAAAATCTATAGAAAATCAATAGGTGCATGGCCAGCTTAAAAGGATAAAATAAAATTGTGGGGGAAATGTATCAAAACTGAAGCAGACAAAATCTGGAGCAGCTGTGCATGGCAACCAATCAACTTCACTCTTCAGTTTGTTCAGTATAAGGAGAACTATGGGGGTCAGTGCTTTTCCCCATAGTTCTCCCCAGGGTCACTCCCAAACTAGCGTCCTCCCGTGACCCAAAGCTCAGTATACCGTGAGCTACAGCTCGCGGTATACTGAGACCGCCGCAGCCAGGATGGATCCCGACATTACTGTTGAGATCCACCCAGCAGCGTGATTGACAGCTGGCTCTGCCTATCTAGAGGCAGAGCCATCTGTTCCGCCAGTCAGCGCTGGAGGATCAGAGCGGCGAGGGGGGGGGGAATCCCTGCTGGGAGCCGTGAGTGACAGGCACGGCTCTATGCAGGGACAGGATCGAGAAGTGAGCAAGCAACGGTATGTGTTCGCTCACTTCCCGATCTGTTGAGCCGACGTGTGACAGTTTCATTGTCATACGTCAGCTCGTACTATGAGGCCGAGTAATTTTCACTCACCTCATAGTTCTCCTTTAAGGTTTTAACATGAGAGAGAAGCTGATTGGTTGCCATGCACAACTGGTCCAGATTTGGTCTTCTCCAGTTTTGATAATTTCCCCTCTGTGTGTTTACATCTAAAAGTGGTAAGAGTTCTAATAGTATACAACAGTGGTAGTCAACTGATGCAGACCCTAACAGGGCCGCACATAATAGTCAGTGAATGTAATGCTCCATACACCTCTCAGAGACTGCTGACACATACAACAGAAGATGGCCAAAGACTACAGGCAGCAAGAGATGGTCAGAGAGCTTAGACAAGCTATACAAGTGTTGGTGATCGTCATAGTCTGGGGATACATTACACAATACGTCTAAAGATCAGTGCTATTACAGGGAAACACAGACTACTACTATCTGCAGGGGTCAAAATAGTGACACGTGGCCTCCAGGGTAAACACCTTGTATATGATATAATCAGGTTCTTTCAACTTTAGTTGACCTACTAAAAGTGGACATTGCACTTATGTAATGACCCACACCCTCCCCAATGCAAAATGCTACAAAAGAAAAATTTTAAAAAACCCTGCAGGATAAAAAAAGCTAATATATTAGCTTCCTGCCACAGCCAAATATTTCACATTTTTACTCATCAGTCCAGAGCACCTGCTGCCATTTTTCTGCAGCCTTGCGGCCAAAAAGCCATTCCTCAGACGTGGAAACAAGGCTAAGCGTCTCAACTATACACCAAAACATAGGAACTGGAGTGCAGAAAAATGGCAGCAGGTGCTCTGGACCGATGACTCAAAATGTGTAATATTTGGCTGTAGCAGGAGGCAGTTTGTTTGCCGAAGTGCTGGAGAGCGGTACAATACTGAGTGTCTGCAGCAACAGTGAAGGTTCCTTGCAAGTCTGGGGCTGCATTTCTGCCAATGGAGTTGGAGATTTTGTCAGGATCAACGGTGTCCTCAATCCTGAGAAATACAGGCAGATATTTATCCATCATGCCATACCATCGGGGAGGTGTGTGATTGAGCCCAAATTTATTCTTAAGCAGGACAACGACCCCAAACATACAACCAATGTTAATAAGAACTATCTTCAGCGTAAAGAAGAACAAGGAGTCCTGGTAGTGATGTTTTGGCCCCCACAGAGCCCTGATCTCAACATCATTGAGTTTGTCTGGGATTACATGGAGACAGAAGGATTTGAGGCAACCGACATCCACAGAAGATCTGTGGTTAGTTCTCCAAGATTTTTGGAACAACCTACCTGCCGAGTTCCTTCAAAAACAGTGTGCAAGTGTACCTAGAAGAATTGATGTTGTTTTTGAAGGCAAAGGGGGGGTCACACCAAATATTGATTTGATTTAGATTTCTCTTCTGTTCATTTACTTTCCATCTTGTTAATTGATCAAAATAAACTATTAACACTTTTATTTCTTAAAGCATTCTTACTTTACAGCATTTTTTCACACATGCCTGAAACGTTTGCACAATACTGTGGATCCCCGGTAAGGGTGCAGACATTGTACTGGGAGGATGTGGATCCCTGGTATGGGTGCAGACATTGTATGGGGAGGATGTAGTTGCCTGGTATGGGTGCAGACATTGTACTGGGAGGATGTGGATCCCCGGTACGGGTGCAGACATTGTACTGGGAGGATGTAGTTCCCGGTACGGGTGCGGACATTGTACTGGGAGGATGTAGATCCCCCGGTACAGGTGCAGACATTGTACTGGGAGGATGTAGTTCCCCTGGTACGGGTGCGGACATTGTACTGGGAGGATGTAGATCCCCCGGTACGGGTGCAGACATTGTACTGGGAGGATGTAGATCCCCCAGTACGGGTGCAGACATTGTACTGGGAGGATGTAGATCCCCCGGTACGGGTGCAGACATTGTACTGGGTGGATGTAGATCCCCCGGTATAGGTGCAGAGATTGTACTGGGAGGCTGTAGATCCCCCGGTATGGGTGCAGACATTGTACTGGGAGGCTGTAGATCCCCCGGTATGGGTGCAGACATTGTACTGGGAGGATGTGGATCCCCGGTATGGGTGCAGACATTGTACTGGGAGGATCTAGATCCCCCGGTACGGGTGCAGACATTGTTCTGGGAGGATCTAGATCCCCCGGTACGGGTGCAGATCCCACGGTACGGGTGCAGACATTGTACTGGGAGGATGTGGATCCCCGGTATGGGTGCAGACATTGTACGGGGAGGATGTAGATCTCTGGTATGGGTGCAGACATTGTACTGAGAGGATATAGATCCCCGGTATGGGTGCAGACATTGTACTGGGAGGATGTAGTTGCCTGGTATGGATGCAGACATTGTACTGGGATGATGTAGATCCCAGGTACGGGTGCAGACATTGTACTACAATGCTCCATGCAAAAGTCCTATGGTTGATATGACACAGGAAGCCGGATGTAGGTCATGTGTCTCCTATAACAATGGCCGGCTGTTCAGTCCACCCTCGTGTCCTCCCGGTAAGCCCCGTTGCCCGCATGTCTGATCTCTGCTATCGGCAGCTCTCTCTTACCCCGCCCCCCCTCCACCCCGTCATTGGCCGCTCAGATTATTCTAGTGCAGTCATTGGTCACTCGACCCTCTCATTCTCCCCGCTGATGTCCGGCTCGGTCCCCTCACAATGAATCCCGGGAGCTGTCACCGTCCCCGGGTGTAGGTCTGAGTAAGGCGGCGGTGATAAAATGGCCGGAGCCATCCATGTGTGCAACTCACCTTCCCGCGCGAGACAGGCGACAACGCCGGCTAGACACAGCTGAGCGACACTGTCGGGGTGCACTCTGCGCGCACACCAAACCCCGCCAAAAACAAGGCCAAGTGCGCCTGCGCAACTCCGCCCTCTGACGCTCGCAGCCTCATAGTACGAAGATAGCGCATTTCCTGTAATGCAGCCGCCATTATATTTTTTTTATCAGCGGGTGATTATACACGCTTTCACCGAACCACACAAAGTACATAGCCCGCTCCCACCCACTCAACACACACACACACGACCGATAATGTGTGGCTCAACCGTTATTTGATATCTTCTACCAATCAGAGTAAAGGAAGTGCGGAAGACTTTCGTTGTCTATGGGTTGGGCGGGGCAAACAGACGGATTCATCTTGTCCAATTATTAAAGGAGCGCATTAATCGGCTCGTCCAATCAGGGATACCGGAAGTGGATGTGGACGAATCAGGGGCTTAGAGGGCGGGCTTTTCTGAGGTAAATAGGTGCTGAACGCAGGTCTACGCCCTACAAGCGCGTCGGAGAGAGCTCTGTGTGGTCTATAGTGGAGCGGAGGAACATCGATAGATTTCCATCATGCATAAGTCTGAGGTCAGTGTGTAGGCCGTGGGCAGATCTATCACGGTACAGACAGTAGATCGTGGGCTGCTTTTTGTTGGTAGGGTAGAATAATATGTATGTATTAGGAGTGAGCGGCCGGCCGAGTTCTGTCTTAGACAACGATTATATGTCTCTGGTCTCATTTTATGGTGTAATGTCGGTTTCCGTTTTAATTGGGCCTCCTTGTGGCTCGGTACGGTTAAGCGGCCTGTTGTGTCAGCAGACGTGGGGGAGGGGTGTCTTTGTGTTCCGCCATTTTGGAAGGCTGCGGCCTGCTCCACGTGTGCTCCGCCATTGTGTCAGGCCATCGACACTTCCCCACACGGCCTCAGGCTCGCTTCTCTTTACTATTGTAGCTCGGTTTGCGTCCTCAAGGACAATGGCCATGCTCACTGGACGGGGATTATGTTCGTTTCTTCTTATTTTTAAATTGCGTAGTGTCGCATCTCGTTGTTTATGTTTCTACAATGTAGCAGTCTGGCAGCTTCTTGTATCTAAACATGGAGGGAACTGGATTTTCTGCTTTCTTTACGTCACTGTATGCTTGATTTGAACACTAGATTTATGTCACAGATTAGTTAACTGGCTCTATTAAGTGATCTCTTGGCAGCATTTTTGTAGTATCGATAAGTTGTGGGAGGGTCAGACGTTTAAGTGACGTGTACCCTATGGGTTACTTTTTTTCATACTGACCGTTGTCACTAACCGAAGTGAGGTTGAAATCTAAAACTGTTCTGAGAGCTAAAGCGTTTGTACATATGATCCTGGGGCAAGTGAGAATTGCCTACTCTGGGGAGGTTTTTCTCGAACTTCCTGTTGTATCTGAGTCAGTGTAAAGGGGAAAATATCAGACACCAGAATCAATATTTCCGGCTGGGCTTTTACGCCATCCTTGTTATATCCCAAATAACTTTTAACTGTGCAGGTACTTTTGTCTGAAAGCTTCCATGTTAGTCATGCTTTTCTCTCATGGTGAGCGTTTGTCTTTTATCACCCAAGGAACCTGAGCAACTTCGCAAACTTTTCATTGGTGGTTTAAGCTTCGAGACTACAGACGAGAGCCTCCGGAACCATTTTGAACAATGGGGCGCCCTAACAGACTGTGTGGTAAGATTTTAATTCTATTTGGTTACACTGTATTTAGGTCTAGTGTATAGATCCATCACGCGTCAATGTTCTGGCAACCTAGTTTCTGCATAATGGTTTTCCCAAATAGTTTATTTAAAATGCATAAAGAACATTCTAATTCTAGTCTAATGTGAGGGTGTATGAAGCATAGAACAACTTTGAATGTAATTATGTCACCAGCACCACAAACTCAGGTCAGTGCAAATCCATTTAATGATAGATGCCACTGTGAATATCATGCACTTTTGGGGCCGCACAGGATCCCCTTCATCAGGCTCTGAGTAGACATGTCTACTCTGAGCCTGATGAAGGGGACCTTGTGCGTCCCTGAGAGCACTTGATATTCTAAGTGGCATCTATCATTAAATGGATTTGCACTGACCTGAGTTTGTGGTGCTGGTGACATAATTACATTCAAAGTTCTGTGTGCTGCTCCATTTGCTATCATTTCAAGCACCCATTTACACTCTTTGGGATTTCCGGTAAGGAGTGCTGCAGGATCTGACGCTTACATAGGACATCACTGGGGTGCTTGGTTAAATATATATGGATGTGTGCTGTCAAGTGTTTATAACGTAACTGTTTGGTTTACAGGTCATGAGGGATCCAAACTCAAAACGGTCTCGTGGCTTTGGGTTTGTTACCTATTCTACAACTGAAGAGGTTGATGCCTCTATGAATGCAAGACCACATAGGGTTGATGGTCGCATGGTGGAACCTAAGCGAGCCGTTTCCAGAGAGGTATGTCTGGAGGGCAAAATCTGATTGTTCTCTCAATGTCTTGGTGTACTTCAGTGCTAATGTATTTTGTTGGAATTTCAGGACTCTCAAAGACCAGGCGCACATCTGACAGTCAAGAAAATCTTTGTTGGGGGGATAAAAGAGGACACTGAAGAACATCACTTAAGAGATTATTTTGAACAATATGGAAAGATAGAAGTCGTTGAGATAATGACAGACCGGGCTAATGGCAAGAAAAGAGGCTTTGCCTTTATTACGTTTGAAGACCATGATTCAGTCGACAAAATTGTCAGTAAGTAATGCGTGTGGGATTTTTTTTTGTTTGGCTTCATTGTGGGATGTTTGCATCAAATAACCTCCAACGTTTTTTACAGTTCAGAAATACCACACCATTAACGACCACAACTGTGAAGTAAGAAAAGCTTTATCCAAGCAAGAGATGGCCACAGCATCTGCCAGCCAAAGAGGTGAGACTCAAACCATGTATTGTCTGTTTTCTGTAGTCATAAGTGCACATACATTTTAATTTTAGTTCAGGTAAACAACTGGGTGGGGTAATGGTTTGTTGGGGGAAACATATTGGCAACAGCTGCTATCTGGTATTGTAGAATTTCCTGGTACTAGACAGGCATATACAGCATCATTCATTCCATTCATGTAGATGTTCTACATGAAATTGAGTTTTTTGTTTAGGTGGATGCAGTTGCCTTTGCACCCAATTAGTAGCATGTGGCCAAAGCTCTTGAAGTAGTCTGGTCTGGGTGTTTCTTACCTTAATGCATTCTGTGAATTGGGGTAAAAAGAACCTAGTACCACCTTTTCCCCCTACACTTGCCTGACAGCGCTGCTGCCAGTCTCAAAGCGATCCTGTGTTCCCTGAACTCACTGGTTGTGGGGAGCATACTGATGGCAGAGGGAGCAGTAGGTGCCTTCTGCCATCTATGAAACTGTTGGGCAGGGAGCATAGTCCTGTCACAG